GCGTGTCTGTTCTTCTTTTGTTGTGTTTGTGTGTTTGTTGTGTGGGGGGGGGGGGGGGGGGTTTATAGCTGCTTGGCCTGAGAAGGCAGTATATTTGTTTATTTATTGGTTTTTTTTGTTCCTCAGATGCCCTAAAACTGTGGAGAACTTCTGCGTCCACAGCAGGAACGGTTATTTCAACGCCCACATATTTCATCGGGTCATCAAGGTAAGAGCTCCTGTCGAGCGTTTAGATGTGTACCTCAGGATTGGTGGATGTTTGTGGATGTGAGCTGAGAGAGTGACATGTCGTGTAGGGCTTCATGATCCAGACCGGAGACCCCACAGGCACAGGGATGGGTGGAGAGAGCATCTGGGGGGGAGAGTTTGAGGACGAGTTTCATGCCACACTGAGGCACGACAGACCCTACACCCTCAGCATGGCCAACGCAGGCCCGGGAACCAACGGATCACAGTTTTTCATCACTGTCGTCCCAACTGTAAGTTGTCCCAGCTGGGTCTTTTTGTTTTTCTCCCATTTTTGGATTGTTGATAAGCCCAATTTTTTTTTTATTAAACATGAAGATGTACACTACCCAGCTGGGTATTCAAAAGTTTGTGGTCAGTAAGATTCACATTCACTCTGTTATTGCTGTAAGTTATATAGAACAAAATTAGGAAACTATGCAGTTCTGTTTAAATGTAACGCACAAAAATCAACTACGAAAAAATGTTTGTTTTTAACTGTTGTAATAATGCGTAAAATGATTACAGAATTAATCTCATGAGAATTTTTAAAATGTACTTCTATACATATACATGTATTCTATTATAATATTCCATCAAGTAATGATGAATTGATGTTGATTCGGTAACCATTCTGACAGTTAATTCAATGAAGGATCTTACTGACTCAGATGGCAAATCGTGAGTTGGTGAATCTATTTGAATGATTCCTTACTGGACCTGTTCGTTGTTCTGGAAGTGTACACTGAATGTGCTGTTTTTGATTCACTGAAAAGAACCGGTTTAAAGACCTTCTTGTCCATGAATCAGACTACACTGCTCACTCTGTTTGTATTGTGAGACGTATGACTTTTGCTATTGGGCTATAGTTTCAGCGGCTGAGGCTGGAAACACCTAATCAATAATGAAATTGCCCTAATTAAGTCATTCAGTTAATGTGTAGTCATAAAATAAATGTCACACCATTGTCATTTTGCGAATGTCTTGTAATTACCATGACTTTTGGAAAAGCAGTTTGGGCCAGCAGTTTGGCCGACAACAACAGTTGAGTCAATTTAAATTAACTTTTTTTCTCATTTTCTCTCCAATTAGCCCTGGCTGGACAACAAGCACACAGTCTTCGGGAGAACCACTAAAGGTATGGAGGTGGTCCAGAGGATCTCCAACTTAAAAGTCAACCCCAAAACTGACAAACCGTATGAAGACATCAGCATCATAAACATCACCGTCAAATAGATGTGCCGTCTGAGCTGCTCGCTTCTGATTTTGTAAAATAAAGTACCTTTTTTTTTTTTTAAATGCTCCAGTTTCATTAGTGATGCATCATTCAGATCAGTGTTTTTCAGCTTTGTTTTTAATAGCATAATATTATGAATGGTTATACAAAAAGCCGTCATCAAATCAACAACAAACATGGATGTGCACTGTGCTTCTTGAGAGGCTTCCAAAACTCACATTAACAACAAAATCTCTCACAACTTCAGATCCTCCTGCAATAGGGGACAGGGAAAGGCTTCACACATGCGTTTCACTTTAGTTAGTTAACATTACATAGCAATGAGGATCAGTGTTTCAAACTAAAGGATGGGTCCTAAAACCGACTAATGCAGATAAACTGTCAAATAATAGTGTTTACATACAACCACATCTGTGTTCTAGTTGAAGTACATTGATGAACCAATATTAATATAATGTAACAGTTTGCTTTTGTTAAGATGCTAAGAAATGAGATGCCAGATTTTGATAAGTAGTGGACCATTGAACTGGGAGCGAGTTTATAAACTTTTCCTTGACAACTACAATATTCCTTTAAAATATAAATAATCAGTAACATTTTTTTTTTTTTTTTACACATCCATCTCTCCATACATGATGAAAATACACCTACACCCATGCACCACTCTTAAGACCACAATGTACATTTCAATAAATATTTACAGGCTTATTTAAAGCCAAATTCATGATGGCCATAAAAAAACAATAATGGTATGCCTTTGGGTGAATCTCACAAAAATGCATGTTGGTCACATTTTACCCCCAAAATCATTTCAATTTTGCATAACCGAAAAAAAAAACTACTGCTTATTTTTCTAACATTCCACATTTTTAGCATTGACATTTTCATAACGATTAAGCACAATATACTCCATACAAATGTGCTGAAATTCTCATTGCCAATTATGATTTTCATTACTGTACTATTTTAATAATCCATGAAGGCAATACTACCATGTGTAGCATTTCACATTAAAGAATTATTTTATTTTTTTTACATTACAATAATGAGATTGAGGGTAAAATGTGCTTTTACAACACAAAAACTCTCAATGCTTCTAAAACAGGTTACTTAATGCAAAATATAATTATTTTTTCTTTGCTCGTAAAAGAAAGCATGACCTATTCATGTTATTTACATGTTTTGTGAAATTCACCCCATTGCATGTAACTTTTGAACGATGGCAATGGATTTGATCACATGTCCTTTCTTACTATTTCAGTAGCTAATCTGACACATTAACAGGCACTTCACATTGCAGAAACCATGAATCTGGTGATTAATGCCTAGTTTTGTCCAGACCTAAGGGGCTTTGCCTACGATTAAAACATTTAATAGATCTATTTAAACCTTGTGCTGTTTGCACACAACACTATAGAGATTTCATGAGGGTGTCTGTACAGAAATGACCAGTATATTTTGCACATCTACTATATATATATATGCGCAAAATATCTCCAGGCATTAGTTAATATTACACAAATGACCAAAATGAGTGAACTGACCATGAAAAGAGGAGTATCATAAACTAGATGTTAAAGGAATAGTTCAGCCTAAAGTCAAGAAACTGCTGAAAATGTGCCATCCGGTATGTTGATGGGTTTGTTTCTTCCTCAGATTTGGAGAAATGTAGCATTACATCACTTGCTCTCCAGTGAATCCTCTGCAGTGAATGGGTGCCGTCAGAATGAGTGTCCAAACAGGTGGATTTTAATGCGAGGACAACAAGGGAAGAGGAAGAATTTTTTATGGATAATGGACGCAATGGTTAAAAATGTCTTAATGTTGTTAAAAGAACACGCAGCTTTTTGTTTCACCAATCATTAACTGATGGACCGGAGTGGTGTGGATTATTGTGATGTTTTTAACAGCTGTTTGGACTCTCATTCTGACGGCACCCATTCACTGCAGATGATCCACTGGTGAGCAAGTGATGTAATGCTACATTTCTCTAAAAGTGTTCCCATGAAAAAACAAACTCATCCACATCTTGCATGGCCTGAGGGTGAGTACATTTTCAGCAAATTTGACTGTTTTGACAAAAGGGACAGTAAGTTTAATTAGTAATGTTCATCAACTTGTTTTTAAACCAACAGTCCAGGTTAAATATACATTTATGAACAGCATCTGTGAATGTTTTGATTACCACTCTCTGACAGGGACCCAAGCAATTTTTACAGTAAAGCATGTACAATGGAGGTCTATGGGGCAACCAAAGCAACAACATCTGCCACTGCATGTTGCCTTGTATTTAACCTGGAGTCCTCGCTTAAATCACTCCAATATGAGCTCCACTTATGTACACCAATGAGCCACGAACACACACAGCAGCGAGTCTACTAATGAATGATGGTATGACGTGGTACTGTGGGTAAACATGAGCAGGGTGACTGTACAAATGGCATGGACCAGCTTGAGTTTTAAGTCATAAGTCTATTAAGTGTGGTTAAGCATCCCTCAGGCCACATCCAGAACTCCTGCAGCCACCAGCTGGCGTGAGAGCCAGTCTAACCCCTCGTGTAGACCCATGCCGCTGCGGGCGTCACAGCCCTGGATGTGCCAGCTGCGGCCGCAGCACAGTTTGTGTAAGCTCAGGAGCTCCGTCATCTCCTCCACAGACACAGCACCGGGAACTTCCTGTAGAGAGAAAAATCTTGTTTATGAGTTCAAGATCAAGGATTTGATTCACAAAGAACACACATATGCAATATACAATGCAATAATCTGCCAAATACATGATACATGTAACATAAAACAAATATGTAAATATAATGATTCCACATATATTCTTTGAAAATTTGTTTTTTAATGCCATATCAGCAAAGGCAATATTTACAACAAAATTTTTTTTTAAAACATTCTTTCAGGTATATAATGGGATCTTCCCCTACTGACAAATATAAACAGAAGCTAAAGTGTTAGAAAATATCTTTACACTTGACATTCAGTTCCTGAAAGCATAATGCCATTTGGCATTTTTATGTATTTATTTATGGCATAACTTATGTTTATAACAGGGCTGATGCTTTGAGGATAGAAAGGACAGTAGTTTTAATGTGGTCAGGTAAAATCTAATATAAATAGAACAATATAAAACAGAAAATACTAGCTTTACTAGCCATTTACAAATACAGCAAAAAGAAAATACAAACAGGACAGATACAGTATATTCATAAAAAAAACTAATTTAAGAAAAAATACCTTTCTTAAACACACAGTAAAAATGTCATCAGCAACTGATTATTAAAATATTATTTTTCTATACATATGTATATAGGCACATTAATAAGATGCATTTTGTATGAATATCCCTCCACTCAGAATTTCTAATTAAAATAAGCGTGTGTCAAATCTCTCACCTGTTTGTTGGCGAAGATGAGCAGCAGAGCATCTCTGAGCTCTTTCTCTGTCAGCAGTTTGGCCAGTTCACTGTGAGACTCCATCAGCCGGTCTCTGTGACAGCTGTCAATCACAAACACCACCGCTGGGAGACAACAGATGGCCAGTTTCAGTCATACACACTTATTATGCGAGTAATGTGACAGTGTGAATTTCATCATGAACAAAGCCCCTGTGAATTACAATCTCCACAAGCAATAACTTTGCAAGAACATGATTGGCATGTTACAGTACCTTGTGTGTTCAGATAGTAGTGTTTCCATAGTGGACGGAGTTTATGCTTGCCACCCACATCCCAAATGGTGAATTTCAGGTTTTTGTATTCAACAGTTTCTACATTAAAACCTAAAACAGAAAGAAAACCTCTGATTATCTTAAAAAAAAAAAAAAAAAATTTTCCCCCACTGTATATATATATATATATATATATATATATATATATATATATATATATATGCGTGTGTGTGTGTGTGTATATATACAAACATTTGCAATACAAGGATTTTTTTTTTTTCAATATCTATACTAAGCTTACCATGTCATAAAAAGGTCAAATTACCTTAGTGAAAGTAACAGGTATGCCTGCATCCAGTTGAATGTGGTCTGCCAGCTCTGTAAACTGCTGCTGTTGTTTTTGTAGTGTCTCTAGTAGTCGGTTGATCTCCTGTTTTGCCAAAATGACCCTGCAATCATCCTAGGGGAAAACACAAATAAACCAAGTGCTTATGATCCCACTGATTGTGTCAGATGTTTGAGTCTGTACCTGCTGCAGTGTTTTCTCGCAGTGCAGACAGGCAGTGGACACCTGTGACAGCAGTATGGTCATGTCCTCCTGCTGCTGTCGAAGCCAGATCAGCCTCTCTCGGACGTGTGCGTCCACCACGCTCAGAGCCATCTCCTCCTGACGGCACAGCGTCTCGTGTAGATCCGCAAAATAGGCACGCACACAAGACCGGGCGCTTTCTGCTGTTCCTGGAACCTGAGTGGAAACCATAGAGGAGTTCATTGGAAACTTATTCAGAGGCAAATGCATTATGCCATTATGAACACCCAAAAACACGCTCATACATGTTCAGTGTGAGCCATGCCCATGCTGTCCTCCACGATCTGCTCTCCTCCTTCAATCTGCTGCACGATGCCCACTAGTTTCCTGGAGTAATCTGACACTTCCTCTGTGAATGTACGGATGCAGTGTGCCATATCCAGGATGGACGCTCGGATCTGGTTGGCTTCAGCCTCCAGTATAGTGTGCTGGCATAATGTTTTCATGAAACAAGATCAAAAATGTAAATCGGGCTGGGTACAAAATATCCTATTTGCAATAAATCAGAAATATCTGAATGATCCAATAACTATTCTTAAATACTAGATCACTGTTTGAAGTTATTTTTCGATGGATGCAGTAAGATTTTTGCACTACATTAATTTAGTAGACCTCCCATTCTGTGGTTTCTGCTGAACGTCCTCACCAAGCAAACTCAGGAGGAGTAAGAATTGTTTGATTGACAGTGAACTAATTTGATTCTAGATTAACTGGCATTGTATTTGTATAAACACTTTTTTACACCACTGTATATATATATATATTTTTTCTCCAAGTAAAAAAAATATTTTATTGTAAGTAAGGATTATTTTAAGTAAAATGTTTTTATGGTTTTAGTTTAACAATAATAATCCAACTTCAGTGTAATTGCACCAGAAACAATACGAACGCAAATGATTATTTAAGCCATATTTCAATATATTTCTTAAATACTTCAATGCAGTTGCATTAGCAACAATGCATCTAAAAAACAACTGCATTGTTACATTCCTAAAATTTTAATGAAATCAGAAAATTTCCTTCAAGAATCAATACAGGATTGAAACTGAATCAAAACTTTGTGAATGAGATGCAAACTGAATCAAGAAATCCAAGCCAATACTCTAAGCCTAAAGACTAACAAGTGTTTTTCAATTGTTGCATTAAAGTTCTGAACCTTATGTCCTTGATGCTTCCCGTACTCCTTGCACACGCAGCACATGAGCGGCCCCGGCTGGCAGCCGTCTTCCAGGCAGACAAACTCAATGGCGTGCACCTGGTGCTGTGGACAGAGCATCTTCTCATGGGGCTTGTCTGCCAGTGGCACACGCCGGTGTTTGGCCAATGTTCGGGTGGAGTGAGTGAGCTGGGAGCACTCGGCACACAGGTGTGTGGCACAAACAGTGCAGTACATGGAAGCAGTATGAGTCTCATCCTCGTCACAGCGGATAATGCACTAATGGAGACATGGCAAAAAAGAAAGTCCTTAACCATGATGCAATACGATACAACCACGATACTATGGCTGTGCGATATTAAAGAAAAATACGATATGCGATACCTTGTTAAAAAATGTGATATTCGATACGATATTGCTTAAAGTGTGTAAAATTAATTTCAATTATATTTGAAAATATTTAAAAATGAAAATTATAACCGATTTGTTTCACATTCTTTCTTGGAAAAGAAAGAATCACTACAACTTCTGAAACTGACCAGCAGTGTTTTAGCATTACATAAAAAGTAATGTCACAAATCAGAAAATTTATTTTAACATCAGTGTGAACATACAAACAAAAAAAATTAATGACACTAATTTTATATCATTGTAACTTTGCTTTCCACACTTCAAGTACTTCTTCATATACCACAGCAAAAGCTATAGTCTGAGAAAGTTCAAACATTATTAAAGGCAAGTGAACAGTCAGTAAACAAAAGAAAGAAAAAGAAAAAGAAAAACACAATTTACAAGCATAGATAATATAAAAAGTAACCGACTGCGTTTACGAGAATGATCGTCGAGACGGGTACTATTGACAATTCTGTGTGTATGTGTCTGTTCACACATGAGGAGGAGATGTGAAAGACGATTCAACTCGGTTTTTCTGAAATGCGTCTCTCTGTGTGTGCGCGTGTGCTTTGTACGTGTGCGGCAGAACTGAAGATACGCTGTGCGAGATGCGGCTTGTGCTATGAATCAAGATAAATTGGTTTCCAGTTATGTTCTTAAGGATCTTGAAGTTGCTGGATTGGATCAGACACATTATTGTTCACTTCCTGAAGTGTACACCCAGAAAAGCATGCCAGTATCTAAGGCTAATATTCCCAAGCAGAGCGATCTTGTTCAATGGCCTTATTTAAATCATATATCTTTGCCCTCAATCGAAACAGGAGTTGAACTCTTGATTGGAGCAAATGTACCAGAGGCACTGGAGCCATGGCAGGTTATTCGCAGCCAAAATAATGGACCTTATGCGGTAAGAACCATACTTGGATGGACAGTGAATGGACCTCATAAAGGAATGGAAAAGTATGGAACTTTCTGTAATGACCAGGCTCAGGTGCCTGTAAACAGGATCTCTGTCTCCAAATTGGAGGAGCTTTGGAAACAAACAATTTAAGACTGATTTCCCTGAAAATGCTCAGGATGAACTGGTAGCAATGTCTAAAGAAGATATTCAGTTCATGTATATGGTGTCTCAGTCTATAAAACTGAAAGATGGTCATTACTGCATTGGTTTGCCGCTCAAGAATAAGGATGTGGTCCTTCCAAATAATTGAATAGTTGCAGAACAGAGAGCTTTAAACCTGCAAAGGAAATTCCAAAAAGATTCAACATTTCAAGCAGATTATATTGCTTTTATGGAAGACGTGATTTCCAAAGGATATGCAGAAAAGGTACCTGTTGAAGAATTTGAGAGGCATGATGGTCGTGTGTGGTATATACCTCATCATGGGGTTTACCATTCAAAAAAGAAAAAGATCAGAGTTGTATTCGACTGCAGTGCTTCATTTCAGGGAGCATCACTGAATGGACAACTCCTTCAGGGACCAGATCTAACAAGCACTTTAATAGGTGTTCTTAGCGGATTCAGAATGGAGTCTGTCGCTTTAATGGCTGATATCGAGTCTATGTTCTATCAGGTAAAGGTTCCTGCAGACGATTCTGACCTTTTAAGGTTTCTATGGTGGCCAAAAGGCAAATGTGTGGTACATACCTCATCATTAGGTTTACCATTCAAAAAAGAAAAAGATCAGAGTTGTATTTGACTGCAGTGCTTCATTTCAGGGAGCATCACTAAATGGACAACTCCTTCAGGGACCAGATCTAACAAGCACTTTAATA